GAAAGAAAGAAAGAAAGAAAGAAAGAAAGAAAGAAAGAAAGAAAGAAAGAAAGAAAGAAAAAACAAAGGAGTGGAGATGAATGCTAAGAAAGTGAATTTTGTAAAAATGATGATGGTGATGATTAGTTTCAAGCAAAAGTTCTAAAATTTTCCAGTTAAAATATAAAATTATTTGGGTTAAAATACTATATATTATAATCCTCCAAGCAGTACTGTGTATATTTTGTAGTGCATTTTATTTCAAAGTAAAAGTTTTGCATTATTTTTTCTGTTGTGTGTTTTTGTGCGTCTCTGCCGACACCAACAGTCTGTTGTTTATCTCAGAAGGAGAATTCTGTCTGACAGTTTGCACTTTATATTTGAACTCAGACTCTCTGAAATATTTTTGTCTTCCTGAAAATGAAAACATAATTTTATCAAACACTTTCCTCTCTTTGCTTGATGAGCAGTTAAATGAGCTGTACTGATCATCATCATCATCATCATCATCATCATGAAGCAGGCATACAGATGATTGTATGCTGAAACAAACAGGAAGTGAGTCAGAGAGCTAAAGCCATTAGGATCAATAGAACTAATTAACTACTGGCCCTTTCGAACCAGGGCGTTCATTTTTATCCCTGTAGCTTTTTGCTTGTGTGTGTGCATGAGTGTGTGTATGAGTGTATGAGTGTGTCCACATCAGCAAGCTGTTTGAGTGAAATTCAAAGGAGCTCAACGCTCAGCTATTGTCTTCTCTGCCACTTCACAGTGGCATTAAAGCAAAGAAATAAAAGACTCCAAGTCTGAAAATGAGAAGAAATTGAGCAGAGAAAAGCTGCATGTAGGAATGGAGGTTAAAGAAACTCAGAGATGGAGAAAAGCAGAGTATGAAGTGAAAGATTATCAGAATATGAGTCACATCTGTCAGGGTGAAAGAAGGAAGGAATCTCTGGAAGAGAAAGGTGAAAGTGTCTGAGTGCTCTATCAATAAAGGGTTTTAATATTAGTCTTTAAAGAGACCAGACTTTCCTTTTAGGGTTTTACTTTGGTTCATGTTAAAAAAATTCTGTGTTGCAAAAGGTCAAAGGTCACAGCTCAGGGAGGAGTTCTCTGAGGTGTTTAACTTTAAAATATTCACCCCTTTGATATTCTGTCTAATCTGTGTATGGTTCATTTGGGTTTCCGTTTTTAAAAAATTAATTGATTTGATTTGTTTTTAAAGGGATCCCCAATTAGTTGCAACATTAGACTTTATATGATAAACATATACTTTA